GCTGTGAAGGATCTCTGGTGGGCTCTGCAGGATCTGTGGTGGGCTTTGCAGGCTGCAGAGCCCCCTATGAATCCTGCAAATCCCCCCTGAGATCCGGCAAAGCCCCCCACAGATCCTGCAAAGCCCCCTGAGACCCGACAAAGCCCTCCATAGATCCTGCAGCATCTCAGGAGGGTTGTGCAGGATCTGTGGTGGGCTTTGCAGGCTGCAGAGCCCCCTATGGATCCTGCAAAGCCCCCCTGAGACCCGGCAAAGCCCCCACAGAGACCACCTGACACCCTGCAGGATCTCAGGGGGGTTGTGCAGGGTCTGTGGTTGGCTTTGCAGACTGCAGAGCCCCCTACGGATCCTGCAGAGCCCACCAAAGGGTATTGGACAGCACACCTGAGACTCTTTGGTGGGCTTTGCAGAATCTATGCTAGGCTCTGCCAGCACAGTCCTATTAGCTTGCACGGCCTGACCTCTTTGGTACACAGCCTCCTCATCCTTGGCGCCCGACACAGCCTCCTTGTCATCTTAGCTGCCCGACTGGAGCTCCGTCTTCGCCCTCCGCCTCTTCCGTCTCAGGGGCCACTCAACAAATGTCATACTTTAAAATGAAATATGACTATATCCGGTTTGGTACTACAGACACTAATATACACACAATAGGGCCCCTTTCATATTTGAGAAGCCTCCTCTCACTTCGGCCTCCCTACCAGGTACGTGATACCCCCCCACACATGTGTGTGTATATATATATAAATAAGTGTGTGTGTGTGGGGGGACACATAGACTGGGGTTGTAATATATATATAAAAACAACCCCAGTCAGTGTACCCCTATCCCCCCCCCAAAAAAAATACAATTCAGAGCCCCCTCTCCTGCTTACCTTGTTGCAGGGAGGAGGCCGTGAGGCGACACGTCGGTCCCGGTGATCGATTGGTAGGGTCTGCTGCAGACCTCACCAATCGATCCTGCACAATCCTTTCGGCCGGCGTTCACTGAAAGAGCGCTGGCCGAAAGGATCCGGGTGCCGGCGCAGACTCAGCTACACAGTCTGCATCCGACAGAGATGCAGACCATGTAGCTGCTCCCGCAAGTCAGGTACGCGGTCCTTGAGCTGGCTGTGGGCCACAAAGTACCAGCTCGGCCCGCGGGCCAGTACATTTGCCGCCCTGCCGGAATCGGCCGTCCGAGGCAAACACCTTGTTTGCCTCACGGCAGATACGCCCCTGCTGTAGCTTGTAGCTGAAGCTTGTCGCTCGAACATGAGCTATTTTTCAGCGGATTTCGAGCAATTTGGCCCCAATAGACTTTGATAGACTGCCAAAAGAAGCGTTACGTACCGTGACAAAATGTGCACTGTAGCTCAATGTCGTTCAAAGTCGATCAGCTCAAATCAGCGCTGAAAAAGTTTGTAGCTCAGTGTGAATGGGGTCTAAATGATGGACCCAGGAATGGAGATTTCATCCCTCCCAATTCTCTTAGAAATTTCCCAGTTACAGGATCCCATGCCAAGTCCAGAAAACCTGGAAAGAACTGCAAAATCAGCTCTTTCCCAGTACTAGAACTTGCTTTCTGGAACCGCTCAGCCCCTCTGGCCTAGAGTTGTGGGTGACTACAACACACAGTGCTACTGTGGGATTGACACACAATACCACAACATATACCGTATTGTTCGCTCCCTAAGACGCACTTTTTCTCCCCCAAAAAGCGGGGGGAAATGTGTGTGCGTCTTATGGAGCGAATGCCTATCGCCCGACGCCCGAGACATGCAGTTTTGGGCACCGGGCGTAGTTTTTTGTACATTTAGCCCTGCTAAAGCAGAGCTAAATGTACAGTAGGAGCCACTGCTCGTTTAATACGAATGATCTAATCAGATCGTTCTTCGTCTGCTCTGTGTGATCACTGAGACCATGGCACTGTAATCACAGCGCCACCTGTCTCAGCGGTCACTAACTGCGGCTTCTGTCACAGAAGCTCCGGTCTGTTCAGTGCTCCATAAGGCGCACTGGACCTCCCTGTGTCCTATGGTCCGGTGCGCCTTATTGAGCGCAAAATACGGTATATATATATATCTGTATATATAAGGCGCACAAAGAACCTGGGGCTAGAGTGGGGTTGTTGGGTTTATTTTTGGTGCAGATGCAACTATTACTTAATTGGAGCTATAAAACATAGTTAAAAACACAAAAAATAGCACTAAAACTGCAGACTGAGTTGGGGCTTGATAGCCATTAGCAGTTTGATATATGTTGCATGAGAGATGTTAAAATGCCTTCCCATCTCGAGGCATGAAATCCACTTTGACACTGAGCTTCATGTGACCATTCTAATCAGAAGTCTGTGGTAAATCCTAGAATATTCCCAGCAATCGCTTGTCATGGTTCTCAACAGCCATCATGCTCAGTGTTAGTGGAGGGGTGATGCCACTCTTGAATAGCTGTAGTTTCCATGCAGACATAAAAAATATGGACGTCCGTATATACGCAGCTGAAAAGACACACTCAATGTAACAGGTTTAATGTGTAGTTGTATACAGTACCACTTAGAGCAAAGTCTTGGAGATATGAACATTAACTTGTGGAAGAAGAGTGTGTACACCAAGCTTTTATGAAGCATCTGTAAAGCTTTCAGCCAGCTTTTATCAGTCTTGGTCTTTCAGGATTCTGAACAAAAAATAGGTCAAGAAGACATAAGTTCCCCAGACGACTAAATGGTCTGTAAACCTTCAGGGGTCAATATGCCAATTTTAAATGTATGTAAACTCCAACAAAGAGATTCTCTGATTTGGTCATTTTTTTACTGTTAAATATTGTATGTATGTTGTATGTAAAGGCAATTTTTTTATATGTTAGAGCCAATGGCGTAACAATCACCATAGCGACCCAAGCGGCCGCTATGAGGCCCAGGGCACAGGGGGGCCTGGCCAGGACATTCCCCCTGATGCCGTGCTGGGCGCCTGGGTCGCTATGGCATTTCAGGCTGCTGGCTGTCACTGGCGGCTGTGAGGAGGAACGCGCCCCTATTCACATGTGCAGCGGCGCGTCCCTCCTCACAGCCGCTGCTGAGTCGGTGACAACCAGCAGCTTCGGAGGAGGTGGCTGGGCCCGTTGTTGGCAGCGATGGAGGAGGCGGGGCAAAGTGATCGAGGAGTTGGGGCTTAGCAATGGGGAGGCAGGGCCCGGCAATCGAGGAGGCGGGGCCCGCAGGTGATCGTAGAGGAGAAGGAGGCAGACAGAGGATCGGAGCAGACAGGTAAGAGGGCTTGACCGCCCACCTGAGGCCCTGCCGAGCCCACCATAGAGAGTCTATGTCTTTGTCAAGTGTTTATCGCTGTTGGTGTTTCTGGACATTATTGGTCCTGGTGACCATTGCCACTGAGACCAAATATGAGTAGAAATCTCCATATTTTGAGGTGTCAACACAGCAAGAGTTGCCCTGGTTACCAGTGCCACCGAAACAGAAATTAAGAGGAAATCCAAAAATTGTGAGTTGTCAACAGAGCAGGAGGTGAGTGAAAATCTTCCATCGGCGACACATGTTCCTTTGACAAATCTCTAAGATGGGAATTTCATTCACTTTAGAAACATTACCTAATTTCCTCAGGACAGGACATGAGGGGAAATCTCCCCAGCAGGACACAGGCAGCAAAAAATATCCTTATAGGGGTTTAACCCTTTAAAAAGAACCCCTCTAAAACAAGAAAACGTGTTGGCTTTACATACACTTTATATATACCATTGAAAGCATTTTATTATATCTGTTTTATCAGTGCAAAAAAATACCTGGTGATCCTGACAGAAATCTTGTAAGCTTTCTGTGCTCCCCGTCTGCTAATCAGTTAGCGCTGTTCCTAGCCAACTATGTTGACTGCAAACCAACCCCATGTTATGGAAAAAAAGTAGAGGGGGAGGAATTCTGTAGTACTGTCCTTAGTTGACAACACTGCTTCCCTTAGAAATACAACATGTATGCACTGCCAACCTTGAACAGGAAGTGTACTACCGGCAGGATCACCAGGTGAAAATAAAGGAGAAATAAGTAGTGGTTGCACCGAAATTTCGGCCGCCGAAACATATCACTCGAAAATGGCACTTTTGAGAAAAATGTAAAAAGTGCCACCTTTCGGACGAAATTGCGGTGCATCCCTATTTTCTCTCCTCCCCGCTGGGCACTGCTCTGTGTCCCCTCTGACACAGTGCAGCGTCCAGCTTGGAGGAGAGAAACTGTCAGAAGCCGAGCGGGGCGGTGAGGAGAGCGCTGTGAGCGTGTCACAGGAGGCTGAGCTCTTCTCCTGCACCGCCCGGCTCAGCCTCCTGCATAGATCAGGAGAGTGGGGTGTGGGCGAGACAACTGTCACTGGAGACCGAGCCGGAGGAGTCAGCTGTCAAATGAGACCGAGCTCTCCTCCCGCACCGCTCAGCCTCCTGCATAGATCAGAAGAAATGTATTTTCGGTGCACTTCTAAAAATAATCCAGAATAAAGAAAACACATGCAATTATATGGATTGGTAAATTGCAACATAACATTTTTGTGCTCGGTTTTAGATATGTTTTACCAATGATCAAGTACAACTAAAATCAGGTATACACTGTTAGATTTTTTTTTGTGTTCAGTTTTTGGGGTCAACAAAAACTAAAATCTAACAGATCCCTCCATCCACGCTAAATAGTGTGGATGGAGAGATCTCTCGCTGCGGCTATTGTAATTTGACAGTTGGCTCCCAAAATACCTGAACAGTGCCTGCATCTGATAGGGTGCAGGTGTTGTTAGGCCTACAATATTCTTGAATGGAAGGATGTTGTGCGGGAGTTGGTAGATAGGGCCAGCTAGTGAGCAACATTCAGCTGGGTTCTTCAGGAATCGGCTAAAATTAGTTTAATGTATACCTAATGAAAAGTTTTTTGTGACTGAATTCAAGAGTACACAAACCAGTGAAACCTGTAATCCGTCATCCAAAGACAGGTATAAATGTATGGGAATGGAAAGCAGCTTGCAGAGTGAATACACCTACCTGAATCAGGTTCAGGACTTCCAGGCTCTTCTGTCTGACATCTGGAAAGGGACATCTCTTGGAGAGCATCAGGAGTCTGGCCAAGTTCTGATTCAAATCTGAATAGCCAGGAAAGTCCATCTCTTTCATCACAGGGGCTGTCAGATCCACCCTGGTCTGCATGTCTTCTCTGATATTTTGCATTGCCACTTGTCTGATCTGAGGGTCTTTATTGTACAGACCCTCCCAAGTCACTTTTTCCTCATTCGTTGTCATACTGAAAACTCCAACTTAATCTCAAAGCGATTGACGGGTAAAAATGTATCCTGATTCTTCTTAAACTCCAAAGATCACAAAGGCATACACATTCAAGATGACAGGAACCAGCACTTTTATTTATGCCATCACCTCAGATTCTTCTGCATCCCACGTGAATTGTGTATTGTCACCTGAATCTATTGTTTACCAACATCAAAGTTGTATCAGCAAAAGGCCAAGTCAGTTCTTAAAGATCTTGTGATAAATAAATTAGAGTAGAACCCTTAATGACTGGAAAGCAGAGCAGTAAACAACCTTGTTTATGTGGCACAAGGGGCATATCTGTGGTATACTCGGCTTCCAAACAAAAGAGCCAAGCGATCCTGGCTACAGACAGCTCAGAGCACACGCCCACCGGCAACAACAGCTCTGCCAACTTCACATAGCAAGCACAGCACAAACACGAGCGAGCCAGCACAGTGCCAGGCTATGCAGAGTGAGCCCGGAAGTCGCCCCGGTGTCCCCCTTTCCCGGTTTATAGTTTGTGCACGGGTTTTTCCACTCTCCTCCTTACAGATCCTTCCAGCTGCCTGTCTCCTCCTCACTCTCACACAAGCCTTAGGAAGAAGGGCGGGTTCAGACCCCACAGTGGGTTTGGTCCATGGCTGCTCGTAACATTCTGTATTTTGTGGTGGTGTGAGGTGACCTTGCTCTGTGGGGAGCACTGTGTGACGTACAGTGTCCTGAGGGACAGGGTAACCTGAGCTGCACGTGTTTTATAATACTGTAAGCTGCCACAGGGTGAGGTGTATTTCCAGTAAGCTCTCTCCACAGGGCTGATGGACCTCTTACCTGTCCCTCACAGCTCTGTCACAGCACGTGTCCACCAGTCTCCATTTTTAAAGTGACACTAAGGAGTTAAATCCTAAGGCTAGGTTCACACCTGGGCGTTTTTCAGCGCTGAAAAACGCTCAGCAAGTGAAATCCCATAATTTCCTATGGGCATGGTTCCCACCTGGGCGTATTTCAGCCCGTGGAAACGCACCGAAAAACGCCCTACGCCTAAACAAGTACAGGAGCTTCTTCGGGGCGTATTTCAGCGCGTATCCATTGTTATTCCCGAGTGTGGCTCGGGGTTAAAGCGGTAACCCCGAGCCACACTCGGGAATACAGCGTAGGTCTTGCCTTGTCCGCGATCCCCGCTGTGTCCTCCGGCCGCTTCCGGGTTCCGTCCCTTGCGAGCATCCGCTCCGCAGGGGGGCGGAACCGGCGGGAAGTTTGAAAGTTAAAAACGAAAAAAAGATGGTGCAAATAAAAGGGGGGAAAAAAAATCATACCGCCAGGGAGGTATTCACTGAACGAAAAAACGTGCTGAAAAACTAGCAGAAAAAACGTGCTGAAAAACTAGCAGAAAAAACGCGCCTATAGTACGCCCAGGTGTGAACCCAGCCTAAAAACTCATTCCAGTGCCTGAACTATCAATAAAAATGTATCTTACTTGTGTATCACTCAGCTGTAGATCTTCAAATCATCTCTGCATTGGTGCTGACACTGTCCTTCCTTCTTAGTGTTTCTTTACATTTTTGCCCAAACACTTACAGTCGCTATGTTTCTACACAGCTGGCACCAACTCTCTCAGCTCGTCTTCCCTAAACCTCCTGTCCTGTACAAGATCACAAAGGAGAGCACAGTCTGCAGCAGCTGTCCATCTACTGGCTTGGAGAAAGGAAAAGAAGGAGCAGGTAGCAGGGGAATGGATTGCCTTGTTTATGGACACACACAAGGGTGGCTCCATAGGACTCTGATCCGATAGCATTGTGTGTTAGTCCAGCTCACACCGTGCTATTGCACCATGGCCCACACCAAGCCTGGTGCTGGGTGTCCACCCCTGTGTGCGGTTTGCCTATTCACAAAAGTAGACTGTGATTATGTTGTGGCATTCTGTGCTTCACATATAGGGAGATAACACACTACACTACCATGCTAATATCAATCATAGCAGCAAAGCTGGTATTGGCCAGAGGAGTGGAAAATACAGGACAAACTGGGCTAAAGGCACAAAACTAGCAGACATATGTTTTATGTTGGAAGAAAAAAAAAGGAGGTAAAAAGATTTTAACACATATACACATTAAAAGGATGATGCCTCAATCCAAGTTCAGAGCAGACCTGTGATATGTCAAATTTAGACCTCAAACAGTTAATACAGACATGCCCACAGAACTAGGGATGCACCGATACTAGTATCGGTGCCGAAACCAAGTATTTGGGCGAGTACTTACCTCCAATACCGGAACTTCCGATCAGAGGGAGATCTCTCTCTGACCAACAGCGCTGAAGCCGGGCGGCAGGTTATGACCTGCCTCCTGATTGGCTAGGAAGCCGGCTTCACTTGTTGCTAGGCAGCCTGGCTTCCTGACCAATCAGGAAGCCGGGCGACACCTCATGCCCCGCCACCCGGCTTCCTGATAATCAGGGCACACGGCACCAGTATCGGTGAGTACCGATAGAAAAATATCGGTACTCGAACTTGATACCGAAAAACAGATATCGGTGTATCCCAAACAGAACCTTTGCAAACTGTAGCACAGTTGGCTGGAGTTGCTATTGCTCAACTTAAAGAACTTCAGGATTTTGAAAAGTTAACCCTTTTGCTTCACCTCTAGTGGGGCTATAGCTGAGGCAGTGACCGCTCACCTCTCTCCCCTCCACTATGGTTGTGGTATGTCCCTCGGCATCTTCACGTCTAAAAGACCTGTAATAGACGTGATGATGTAACGGATCCTTAGGCCGCTGGAGCACAGGGAGAAGAGGCTGCGAGGACCAGTCTAGTAGCCAGATAGGACCAAGGGTCTGGTGAGTATTTCTTCGTTATTTTTGCCCCATAGACAAAACCAGCACTCAACCCTTGCAGTGCGGGGGTAGCCTCGCTACAGAGATACATTTTTTGAAATCCTAGAGTTCCACCTTAAAGTATTAAATCCAATTAAAGTAAATCCAATCCGATCGCTCCAGTGTTTGTCCTTCTCACACGGAGGATCGGTAAGTATCATTGATATTTACCGATCCCCCGCCCTGCCACGCACAGAGCCGCTGTCATCCTGAAACTGACAGGATGACAGCGTCTCCAATCTCCTCCGTGCTCGGCCATCCTGACAGCAGCGGGCGTGGCTTCTCCCCCCCTTATTTTTTTACTTAATTTTATTTGATAATGTTTTACTTTTTTTCCCCACTTAACTTTATTGCTACTTTGCCATGGTCCAGGGACCCCCAGAAGAGCGGGGGGCCCCCAAAAACCACGACAAGGAGAAAGCCGGCCGGCGGGGGCTGGGGTGGACATGGTCCATGGAGGGGATGGACCTGCAGGGGGACAGACCTGCATGCTGCATACAAGTGATCTCCGAGAGCACGAGGAGACACTTGTTAGGCATGATCATGCCCCAAAGAACTCTTTATCATATTAAATAATTGCCTCTGCATTCCATTATTAACGGTTTTAGTAGTAAGTAATACACTAGCTCTACAAGTAGAAGTCTAAGAAAAATAATGGCAATTTGTGTAATAGCCCGGGCTCTCAGGTGGCTGTGCAGGTTCTATGGTGGGCTGTGTGGACTCTCAGGTGGCTGTGCAGGTTTTATGGTGGGCTGTGCGGACTCTCAGGTGGCTGTGCAGGTTCTATGGTGGGCTGTGCAGGTTCTATGCGGACCCTGGGGTGGTTGTGCAGGTTCTATGGTGGGCTATGCGGACTCTCAGGTGGCTGTGCAGGTTTTATGGTGGGCTATGCGGACTCTCAGGTGCCTGTGCAGGTTCTATGGTGGGCTGTGTGGACTCTCAGGTGGCTGTGCAGGTTCTATTGTAGGCTGTGCGGACTCTTAGGTGGCTGTGCAGGTTCTATGGTGGGTTGTGCAGGTTCTATGCGGACTCTCGGGTGGCTGTGCAGGTTCTATGGTTGGCTATGCGGACTGTCAGGTCAGGTGGCTGTGCAGGTTTTATGGTGGGCTATGCGGACTCTCAGGTGGCTGTGCAGGTTTTATGGTGGGCTGTGCAGGTTCTATGGTGGGCTGCATGGTTTCCAAGCATTTAGTGCATGCTATGGCACAGTACAGTGCGCTGCTGCATTGTGTTGCCATTCAGTGCAATGCACAGTATTGCAGCATTGTTTTAAAAAAAACGTAATGCATGCATAGTGTGCCATTCAGAATAAAACACAACGCAACCCACCAGTGCATGGTACCCCATACTAGGTGCACTGTGCAATAGTGTGAGCAATGAGGAGAGACATTAGAAAATGGATTTTGTCTTAAATAAACCAAATCGGAATTGATAGGTCAACTGCAAGGCTTACCGTATAACTAGCCCACAGAGAGAGCCTATTCGGCATCTCTACAGATTAGTTATACAGCAGGAATATTTCTGTACAGACTGCCCAGTGGTAGTCTGTTTAATTCTCCCGCTCACTAGCCGCCTTCATTGCTGCCGCTGCTAACAGCTCCCAACCCCCCGGCTCCACTTTCCCTTCACCAAGTACCTCACACATCCCACGCAGCACTCCACCCCCGCCAACCGTCACACTTTTCATTATCCAATCAGGAGTACTAAACGAGCATATGAAAATATTACCCGCGACTCTATTGGCTAACAATAGTACATGCTTGCCTTATTGGCTAAGAGTAAAGAAGTGGGCGTGTTTGGACGCCCAGTGTGTTCAGGGTTACTGTGGCTCCACCCCGGCGTCGTGTACACAATTTGCTGAGCGGTCATCTCATACAGTGGTACTGTAGAAGCCGTGCAGGCTCCGTTTACAGGTATGATTCATCCTCATTCATTGGGTCAGATGTGATCTTCTTATAGGCACCGATCTCCGTTTACTGTGCGTGCACGTAGGGTACATGCATTGCAATGATCAGTCATTTGTAAGCACTGCAACTTGCAGGGCTAACCATGACCTAATTTCATACATTGCAAATATCGTGCGAAATGCCTGTGTTGTTGTTACACTGTGGGCTGTGCATGGGATAT